CTCAAGAACTTTGCTCAAGCGGACAAATAACCGAACACAGAGAGATGAGCAGAGCGGGGTGGGGATGAGGATGAGGATGGGGGTTCTCTAAGGAAACAAGTCGAAAAATATCAACTGCTGAGTACATCAACTTATGTAAATTGTAATGTGAGGGACAGCTGTAAGACAGCTGCAGTTCGCACTCTCTCGCTCTCTCTTTTACTCTCGCTCACTCACCCATTCCCACTCCCACTGCCGCTGCCCCTGTCGCCCTCCAGCATAGTGGCCACTATGTGGGAGGCGCGTCTGGTCCTTTAGTTGTCCTCAAGGAATTGCGGGCATGTTTGCTTCTGCTGAAATGAGCAAAAATAATTGCAAATCGTAAAAAGAACAAAAATTTGTTGAGGCTGTCGTCGCTATTCACTACTCAGTACTCGATTCCCAGTTCACAGTACTCATGTGTGTTGCCAGACGATGTCAGACGGCAGCAAGTGAGCGAGTGAGACAGAGAGAGAAAGAGGCAGAGACAGAGACAGACAGACAGACAAACACGGGCGGAAACGGAAATATGCAATGAAGCAGAAGTTGGCAGGAAATTGTTAAGACGCCGCGGCTCCGCTCACTCGCTCCCCTCCCCTAATTCCTCGTCCCCTTCTCTCTCTCTCTCTCTCTCTCTTGCTCTCCCTCTCCGTCGCGCTGTTGCTCTGTTCTATTTTTCTATTTTTACAACTTTATTTTATTTTGCATCATCGAAAGGGTTCCCCAAAAACATTCCTTTTGGCTCGTTTTATGTTCTTAGACGAATTGAAAAGCCGCATGCAAATAAAATTTGCCTGTTTCTTAGTGTGTTGTCCTTTGAACCCGGGACCCGCTCAGTCTGTTTTGTTGCTTTTTCGTATTTTGTGGTTTTTATATTTCAATCGAGCCTGTTCTCTGTTCCCTGTTCCCTGTTCCCTGTTACTTGTTTCTTGCTGCTCGAGTTTAAAGTATTTGCAGCAGTTTATTTTTCGTTGTAGTTTTTGCTTAAACAATTTTTCTTTGATTAGAAAATATGACGTAAACCCTTGAGAGTATTTTAAAGACTTTTTTCTGGGGTTTACAATTTGTAACTAAAACTTTTATTAAATTTATTTTTATAACTGAAATTTGGATTACAGTTTTTTGATTCCTAAACCCATTTGAAACGCGGAGCTTACAAGTTCATTTAGCTGAATATCAATTTGACCTCAAGTAATGAAAATTTAATAATATTTTTTTTTGATAAATTGTAGTAGCTAAAAAGAGGTATTAGTAAGAAGGGGACACAGAAGATTTTGTAGTGGAATCATTTTACCCAAGGCTCTAAAGTAATCAACATAACTTAGCTGATTAAATGCATTATGATATATTATTATTATTAGTTTTTATATCCAGTTTTGCAGCCAGTAAAACGCCTAGAAGTCTGCACAAAAAAAAAAACAAACACAAAATTTGCATAATTTTTACAACTGTCAGCATAAATTTGCTTAAGAAATAGAAAAAATAAACTCCACATGAAATTGTTGGCCCAAATGTGAAAAGTTTTCCTAGAGCTGTGCCAAAATATATAAAAAAAAAGGAAAAACTTCAACAGGCTGAAGGAGTAGCCGAGGAGTCGCAATGAGGTAGAAACTTTGGACATAAAGTAAACAATAAAATGCGCCAATTGTAATTATGTGTCAGTACAATAAACGTAATTAGCTACAGTCTTCTCCACACGAAACGTGCACATAAAATGTACAACTTATGCAGGGAGCTGTCAATTCGTTATCCACTTAATTGTAGGCTAACGATTTCAATTAACCTAAAAGGTTGCAATATGATATAGTTAAGCGTTCTAGTTAGCTAGGCTCCACTGTAGCTGTGACCACACTTGAATTGCTGATTGAATAATAACCCATCCGGGCGCTTCTAACTGCAAAAAGAGAAAATGTGCACAATATTATAAAAAATTATTTGCAATTTTAAAATGCACTTGAATATGTCGACAGCGCCTTTTTTGAGGGGGCGTGGCATTTGCACATGCACACACGTGCGCCGTTTTAGGGTTTTGTCTGCACGCGATTCGCGCCGCGCCGCGCCCTCCTCGTCCTCGTCGGCGTCGGCGTCGTCGTCTGTCGCCCAAAAAGTGGCTAAAAACGTGACGCGCATTTCGAATTGCGGGGTTGACGACGTCCTGCCAGCCAAACCCTCCCCCGCTTAGCCGCCGTGCCCCTTGCTAGCTGTGCACCTGAACTCCCCTGCGTGGAGTCGTTTGCAATGCGCCGACATGAAACGCTTGCACTTTTGTTTATGTCCTTTGGCGAGCCGCGTGAAATTGAAAAAGCGGCTGCTCTTAAAGCAAGGATGTGGGCAGCCGGCAGCCGACAGCTAAGTAGCTGGGACTGCTCAGTCTGTTGGCAGAGACAGACAGCATTAGCATCAGTTTACATGGAGAATTTCACACGTCATTAGCTCGCTGCGAGGCGGACGGGGCTGAATATGCTGTGGCATGTGGCAGCTGTAACCAGGTTGAAGATTGTAATAAGTTAGCGTGCAACCAAAGTGATTTATAGAAAGTGCTGTCTGCTGAATATGAGAACAGAAAGCCAAGATATGCGTAACTAATTGGGTTATAGATAATTCGCTTGACTGCATGTGTAAGTTACTACAGACATATACATATATACATATACTTAGCTAGTCTCTGTATTAGATTCGAATTTATTATATTGTCATTAACTTCATAGTCACTTTGTTGTTGTTTCTGATGTCATACATTATGCGAATATTTTTAGAAGTTTTACTGTTTCTTCAGGTATATTACATTGAGTGGTTCTTCAGACATTGTTAAACAATTTAAGATTTTAATTATTTGCTATTGTTATTAACATAAGAATATTCAAAAACTCGTTACACTTTTACAACAGTGGCAAGCAGTTGAATTTGTACTGCTTTAAAATATGTGTCTTGGCTGTTAACTTTGCTAAGAAACATCGAAAAGGATGTGCACCTGCTCTGCTTTGTTAGCTTATGAACTGCTTGCCGAGGAGCACTGCTTGAGGGCAATAGTTAAGCTTCTTCCCAGACTAGCCTTCACTGCTTGCAAAGCTCTCAATATTGCAAATTTTGTTTGTCGTAAAAGGCTCTGGAGCCATGTTAGCAGATTTAAAAAAAAGGAGCAAACCAGGGCTGCTTTAAAGTCCGCGCTGTGTGCCATTGAGACTTTGTCTGTGAGCTATTGCCGCGAAATTTAAGTTGAATATTTAATTTGACGCAAATCGAAAATATTATTACTTTTAATCAGTAATAATAGTATATTAATTTATGTACATTAAAACAAAGTAAAATATTCATTAAAACCGACTTTAATATATTAATATTAAATTTTAAAATAATGCTATGAATTCTAAATGTTATATTATAATTATTAATTTTCATATAAAATAGCCTTGAAATGCATAAGAATATGTCTAGTTAATGTAAAGCTACATATATAACATTTGAAAAACATATTTTAAATGTGTTTAATGTACATAAATCTTAAATTTATGTATATATTCCTAGATATTTATGTATATTCCAATTCTCGGCACTTATTTACCGCAACAGAACAGTTCGAATCCTTGTCTACACTTTAGTCCTTTGGCCCTTTGCTGGTCACATGCTGCGCCAATTGATGTCAAATTTATAACGACAAATACTACAAAACTTGCTGAGCACACGTTCACTCCCCGTACGTTCTTTGCTTCCCCTTCACATGCACACACACATACGCACACCGAGCTGTGTTGCATGCCAAACACACAAACACACATACACACCGCGTATGTGGAATGGTCTGCTTGTTCACTTTTCGAGCATCATTATTGCTTTTTGATTTTGGTGTGAATTTGCAGGACGAGTGTGCGAGTGTGTGTGAATGTGAACCAGCTCGAGTGTGTTTGTGTTTGTGGCCAGCAACGTGGCTGCGATGAGTTATGGGCCTCAGCAAGGAGAACTCTGTGCTGTCTGTGGAGTCTGGAACTGTGCCCAGGCAGGCGCGACTGCTGCCGCAGCTTGCAGTTATGTCTGTGTGTGTGTGTGTGCTGTGCTCTGCTGTGTCCTTTTCAAGAACATATTAATGCAATTTTATTTAAATTATGCAACATTTATGCCTTTTCCTGGTTTGATATATTTGCCTTACACGCGCCGCCGTCTGAAGTCCCGGCGAGCCATCGATGTGAACAGGGGACTACGACAGGGGAAAGGAAAAGGAAAAGAGCCATCCGAATGCTGTCCTTATTGTTCTTTCGTTTTGGCACTGTTTATGCTGCTCCACCTCATTCATATTTATGGCCGTCAAACAATTTATGTTGCCTTGATAATTTTAAATGTTAATTACACTTATTGTTGCCAATTAAAATATTAAAGACTTTCACAAATAGCTCGCTATGCGTGTGTGAATCGAAATCGAATTTCCCCACCGACGCGCAGCCACATTAAATGAATAAACTTGTGTAAATTGCAAGATTGATTTTAATGGAATTTTTAACTGCTCTGCTCGCTCAGATGGGTAATAAAGTAACAATATCAGAGGATAAGAATGTTAATTGATTTTAATTATTAATATTGTACAATTATATACACATTTGGCTCACACTGAAATAGCATCCGTTTTGGTCGAGAGTGTGATTTCGTGCTATCAAAAATCAATTCCTACATGAAAGTCGAACAAAGCTGTCGAAATGTTGCATTAAAGCTGTAACAAGAAGGCATATGCTTATCCTTAATTTAAATATAAGTATGTATAAATATGTTTTCGTTTTCGGTTTAAATAGTTTCTTTACGTTTAATTATTTGTATACTGCTGAGACTGAGCTATACATGCTTAAGCAGGTGCAAACAAGCAGGTGTTGGTTCATAAATGAAACGCAGCATCAAAGAGTTTATAGATATACAAATTAGTTAGTATGCATTGCCTTTTAACTGTTGAATACACGCTCGCAAAATGCTCGATTTAAAATTAAATTCTTGCATTGCAGGCAAAGTAACAGAGAGCAGACGGACCGCATGACACATGGTAAATGATTTGCTCAAGCGAATATGAAGCAAATTGAAATCGCTTAATTTATTTGACATGAATTGAAAATCAAGCCAAATGGCATTAAACCGCATATACACATAGTGCACAATTGGAATTCAGGCAAAGGACTCGCAATTATGGCACGTCAAAACCGGAAATGGTAAAGTGGCAAAGCGGAAATGGCAGGCACCAAAATGCAAATTTCTATAAAAAGGAAATTATAAAAATATTTTCCCAGTTGTTTGGCCAAAAGAAAAAAAAAAACGAAGCAAATATTTCTTTAACTGTGGCAACAGAATTTGCACGTGGGTCGTTTGTCTGCGCTGTGCTCCCAGCTGAATCCACTTGAAAGGACGCTACCCACTTGGGCCAAAAGGCTCGACGCCAAGGTGGGGCAATTCAAGTGGAGCGTCTGGCGTAAAGTTTTTTGCATTTTGCTGCTTCACGTTTTTTTTTTTTTATATTTTTTGGCCAAATACTACAAATAAGAAGTAGCTCTATATATGCAGAGAGTGCGGCTTGTCGGCGACAGCAAGCGAAAGGTGAGTTCATATTTTGTATAAAAAAACAAGTAATTTCATGCCTTCTGCCAAGTTGTTATTTTATTTTAATTATTTTCAACTGCCCTTTTATTTACATCATTTGCAATTATAGCTATGTTTTGGTACTACAATCCACATAAATATCTTTGGCATTTACACGTGCTAGCAATGCGACTCTTCCTCTTTACACTGAATATGCTCGGCCTTTTCACTGGCGTTCAGGCCGTGTTGAATATTTAATGCACACGGGAAGAGCTCAAATGTCAAAAACAGCGAAACCAAAAAACGCATTACACAAAGGCTTGCCAGTCCTTTTGGGCTTTTCGAAAATCATAAATGTGCGAGAGTTGAGCGTATGTATGTGTGTGTGTGTGTGTGTGTGTGTGTGTGTGTGTGTGTGTGTGTGTGTGTGTGTATCTGTGCGGTTGCACAGGTGAAAAGTCAGAGGTAGCCGCATTAATTCCACTTAATTTGTTTTAACCACAAAGCAACAACAAGCAAAAGATATATTTTTATGCCATCCGCCGAATGAATGTTAAACGCTTTTGCAAGCTGTGGATATACAGTTATGGTTTAATGCTTAAAGATAAGCATTTAAGTGCATCTAATTGATTGGTATATTATCCCTAAAAATGTTGCTGATAAGTTGATAATAATTAGCCTGAAAAGTCATTCTTGGTGAATCTAAATCTATTTATCTACACTTTACAGCGTGTCCTTCCGGCATATTAAACTTAAAGCATTAAATAAATTTGTTAGTTAATTAGTAAAGAAAGTTATACATATTTAACATTTGAGTTCTCTTAAGCTTCCATGTTAACAAAGCCTTACTACTGTTAGAATCTCTTTAGCTGTCTGAATAACAGACTTCCCCAACACGCTGTTAAAAGGAAACTCTCTTAAGCTCATATGTTAACATATCTGTTAAGTCAACTAACAGTGCCAATGCTTACGCTCTTAAGCGTGTCTGTTACACAATTACCCCACTGTTACTGTTAACTAACAGTCTGTTGACACGCAAGCTTCATCCTAAATTGCCCAGCAAATACTGGTCAATTTATCCCTTCAAAAAGCTCTTGTTATGTTAAGCTTGCAAGCTCTGCTGCTGAGCTTTCACTGTCATACATCAAGCTTCCGCTCTCATCAACCCCCAAGGCACCCACGCCAATCCTGTGCAGCTTAGAAATTAAATGCTCATTTCTTATTGGCTATGTGCCCCTTTTAAAAGTCCAAGCAGCACCCAATTAAACATCAGTTGGGAACTGGACTTGGCCAGAGACTGATGCGATTTTGAAGGAACATGAGTTGGCTTGACTTTGGTAAATAAATAGTTATTTGTCTTAAACAAAATACTCGAAATAAATGTTTTAAAATAGTTTAAATTCGTTTTACTTGAAAATGGTTACAAGGAAAATAATTTATTTGACCTAAAGAAGTTAAAATGGAGAAATATGATAATGTATACCCATTTTTATTTGAACATCCAAATAAATCATGTTGGTTTTTCTTTTCTTTCATGACAACTATTAACAAATTCCAAACTTAAAATTGGAAATTCTGAGAATATCTCTGAAAATGGAAAAAAATAGTTTTCCCCTAAAAGGCCTGTAGGAGATGGATAAACATATATATTTTTATTACTTTTTAATATTTTCGCCTTCCAAGCTCGCTTTTTCCTAATGCGCCATTTATGTGAATTAAGTTAGATTAAGTTGTCCTGTTTTCTAATAGTATAGAAACTTGACTCATTCAGAATTTTCTTTTGAATACATATTTTCTTCAATCGAGCTATCAGGTGGTCAGCCTGAGGGGAGCCTGGGATTCAGCTCTTTTGCGATCACATGGAATTATTTTACAATAACCCTTGAATTTGTGATCTTATTTAGAAACACGATGAGCTAATATCTAATTTTTCTTTTAATAATGACTATTCAAGGGTATTTCATGGAGGATCAATTTTGGTTTTTAATTACAATTCATTTGATATCGTTCAATTTAGTTTTTCCTTGATTGATGATTATATCGATATTCATCGTTGATAAGTTATTTCGCAATTATGTTTGGTAATTTACACTATGCATCACCATTCGAATAATCGTCAGTTGCTTCATTGCAAAAATTTCATTAGTAGGAACTTTGCTCAGATCGGGATAATTTATAGCCCCCATCAGGCAGCTGGCAAACTAACCTTTAGCACTGACCTAATTACCGTCAATTAACAAGGTCTAATTAACCTCAACCGGCGGGGGCAATTCAAGCGCGTCCTCTAAATCTAAAATATGCCGCTAAAGTTCAGCAAAGTCATGAGAAAATTAAATGCTCTGCGCGAGCTTTTTTACTAAATTGGAAAAGCGCAAAAAGCAGAAAATGCGCGGACCCTAAATATATACATTAAATGCAATTGAAAATGCAGCGAGCGTGGCAATTGGGGCCAAAGAAAAAAAATGTTACTACACAAAATGGTTTGAACTTGCGGCAATAAATTCTTTTTTATCGCTGGCCAAAAAGAAATAAAATTCCTAATGAAGAGAGCGGAGCCTACAAATTGTATTACGGCTTATACTTCACATTTTTTGTTTAACGTTCAGCACTCTAAAATGTTCACTCTGAACGAGGCATATTCAAGGGTATATTAACTGAAAGCAAAACATAAAAAAAATGACATTTTTAAGAAAGAAACAATACTTAAACAATAATTTTAACTATAAGTGCCCACATAATATTAAAAAAAAAAAACATATATTATGTTAAAATTAACCCGCAGTAGAGTTCGATGAGAGCATTTTTTCTTAAATGCATATAAATAAAATCAAAAGAGAAGCACAATTACAGGTCATCTGAGAGTCGTAGATATTGCGTAAGAAATTTCAATCTTTGTTTTTTTTGTTTTTGTTTTTTGACTTCATAACGATTGGCAGGCATCTATATCCATGAAAGCTACGATTGTCTGTGAGCGCGTCTGTGTGAATGTCTATGTGTGTGTGTGTGTGTGGCTGCATGCTTTGAAAAATTACTCACGTAGCAGAGAGCGCAGAGAGCCTTTTGCTAATCCCCGCAAGCGTGACAGGCCATGGCCAAAATGCAAACGCAAACGAAAAAAAAAAACCGCAAAACTTTAACCAAAGTGAAGCAGCATTTATATCGGATATAAAAGTCAATAGTTGAGCTATCAATGAAAATTGTGCTATTTAACTATGCCTCAATTTGGTTAACTGTGATCTACAACTTTTCGTAAGCGCTAACAACTTGACGAACTAACCAACTATCCAAATGTTAACTGGCCATTTAACGTGTTCGCCCATTTTGGGCTTAAGTTGTTGTTGTTGTTGTTGTTGTTATTGTCAGTCTGCAAGTTGTGTTGAGGCCCCTAAACATATGCCACAAATGATTTGTTATTCAATACGAAACACAAAAAGTACACAAAGCGGCAAACGAGCTACACACACACACACACACACACACACATAGACTGGACATTTACTAAATTGGCTAACAACTTTTTGCTAGTCTTCTTTACTTTTTGTTGTGACTTGATTGTTGATCCTTTGCTGTTGCTGTTGCTGTTGCTGCTGCTGTTGTTGTTGTTGTTGTTGTTGTTACCTCCTGTTGGCCAGCCTGTCGCATTGTGTTCTGTTGTGTTGTGCTGTGTGCCATATGCTTGACGGGATATATGCGAGAAAAATAAAGGATTAAACAAAATTGGACAATCCGTTTTGAATTTATCGCATTTAAATAAAACAAAAATCGAAGTAAAAATTATTATATTAAATTGAACTATTTTTTGTATTTTTCGCTACGAAATATATATTTTTTAAATTTTTGACATACGTTTAGTTAAAATTGGCACAAAGATTTTCGATTTTAGCAATTATTTAATTTATTGATTGCCTATTTATTTATTATTTAATTTTAATAATTTTTGTATGTTCATTCGAGTAGAAGATTTCAGGTCTGAATACATTTTCTATGGGCATTTAGACTCTCTTATCTAAAAGAGATACAAAACAGTTTTAATGTAAATTAAATATTTAATACTTTGGCTTATAGCGATAAATTTTTACGTAATTCCAATCCGTAGTCTGTAAATACTTTCTGCTTTCCGAACGTAAGTGGCAAGCGTACTGGGCTACTGTCAACGCTGTTACCCCAAAAGAAATATGTGCTTAAATGCCTCTCCGCCCGCCAAGCTCAACATATGTTGGCACATTTTTAAATGTATTTGTGTCAGGGCGTAGTCGTGACTGCAGTAAATTCCTGGTAACAAAACACCCAAAGACCCGAACACCCCAAAAGCAAATGTAGCAGCAACTGAAATGCGCATTTCAACATTTTCAGGCAGCCGAACAGCCGAACAGCGAGCAGTGCATGTCTGCAATTTTTTAAGTAAACATTTTATTTGCTACAGTTCTCAAAAGGCAGTCAAGAAAGCAGCGAGCACTGGCTGCAGCAGCAAGAAGCGGGCAGCATGTGGGAGGGGTAGGGCAACTCGAGACAACTGCACAATCCACATCAAAAGAGCAACTTCTTTGCCATTTTGCTTTTATTTCCGTTGCCGTTCTCGTTGTTGACATACGTAGCTGTTGACATTTTGATACAAATCTTCAATAAAATAAAAGCAACTCAAGTGGCCACTGCAGCTGCAACAGCAGCAGCAACAACAACAACAACAACAACAAATACAAGAAATAGATACAATAAACAAAACAATAACTGCTGTTGCCTTGCGAATGCAGCATAGTGGCATTATCCCAACTACTACTCGAAACTAACTTATGTTCCGATATTCGACTTGAGCGATCGATCAATTGTAATTTTATTTATTTAATATTAATAAATATTATATAATAATTTACCATACTTATGAAATTAATAGTATTTACAGACATTACTTTGGATACATATTTTATTTCCAATCACTTTTGACTTTTGTTCTTTGCAAAATAAATATTTCTCTTTTACTAAAATACTCAATAATATTAAAATCTTGGTACATATGCCGCATTTTCTTAGCGCTAATAAATTTGTATTATACTGTTCTTTGCAACATTGTTTTATATTTTATATTTTTACTTTCTATACTTTGGCAGTTTTTCATACCACTGTTGGATATATATATTTTTATAACATTCCATCACGAAATGCTCAAGACTCGCTTTCAATTTATGTGTTTCTATTGTTTGCCCGACTAAATATTTAGGCACTTTCCTAATTGCAACAAATTCTATTTTTTTTCTAGATATTCTTTGGTATCCCTTAACTTTATATTATTTCATTTGCAATGCGTTGCCGAATCTATTTGAAACTGTATAACACTTCTATGTTGCATTACGCACATCTTTCTCCATCATTATATATGCGAGTAATTTGCACATTCAATCAACTTTGTCTTCAGACCATATATAACTCTACTTGAGAGTTGATTTTTATTTGCAAATCAACAGCAACAAAAAACAAGCGTTACTTTAGTTAAATATATATTATGCGATACTCGACTCCCTGTGGCAAGTGCAGCTAACATTATTTTACATAAAGCATACGCCGTGTTGCACTCGAGAGGGAGAGAGAGAGAGAGAAGCAGAAGCTGGGATGCTCCATGCAGTTCGTAGCTAATCAAATTCCCTAGCAAAAGACAAACAATGAAATAAATGTCTTAAGACAAAAAACACACACTGCCAGATGGAATGCCAAGCACTACACCCTCTCTCTCTCCCCCTTTCACTGTCTCATCCCCTTCAAGAAACTTGACACGCTGCTTGTGACTGTCGGGGGAGTGAGGTGGCATACTATTTGTTGCTTGTGTGTCTTTGGGTATGCTGATATATTAAATGTACTGTTTCCACTTCGACTTTGAGCAGGTTACATCAAATCAACACAAACACAAATTCAATTACTCAACAGAAATAGCAACAGCAACAGCAACAGCAACTGGCACACGCGGCGTATGAGTGACATTAATGCGATTTTCGGAACTGTCAATCATTTTTCATTGGCATCGCCTAAAAATATTGTGGGCCGAGCACTCATGTTATTTCTAGGGTCGCTGTTTGATGTCTGCTTTGTCACAATTTGCAATTAAATCGATTGCTCGAAAATCTACAAATAAATAAAACACCTGTGTATTCCTCTCATAGTTAGATGTTTTGGAAAACGTTATTGCCTTTGAAGTTTCAATACATAAATTTAGAAAATGAAATAAGCACAGCAATTCTTCTCGAAACCAACAATTTGCTATAATTTCTTTATTTTTATTTAATTTAAAAAATATTTGTATGTACTTTCTTTCGTATGGTTACAAGGTATTTTTCAAAGTCGCCCACACAAAATCGCTGAATTTTATTCCTTTCAAAATTTATCTAGTTTGAAAAATCTCAACAAAAAAAATGTATAATTCTATTATTTAAGTAGCTTAGCCTTTGTAAAACTAGCAAAATTAGAGTTGAGACAAAAAAATTCGATTCTCGAAATCCTGATTCTGAATATTGAAGCTTATTTAAGTAGCCAAGCTATTCTCAGTCTAGATCAAACTTATTTTCGACGGAAAATTGTTGAAATTGCGACGATATTGTTTTGAACATAAGTGCGTTACCTTTGTGTGCAGTGCGTGAGCTAATAAATAAATAAGATTCTGGCACATTCATTTGGGCCATCTCCCAAAAAAAAAAGGAAGGGAAAAGAGTAAAAGAAAAACAAGAGGCGAATTGAACGTAACGTAAATGTGGTACGCCTGTCGGCAGATTAAAAATACAATTTACGGCAAATCAATTGCGGCTAACATGTCGACGACAGCCAACGAAAATTAAAATGGCCAAGAGAGCGAAGGTACAGACAGATAGATAGAGAGAGCGGGAGAGTGAGATGGGAGGGAGAGATATAGAGAGAGGAGGAGGGACGAACAACAGTAGCTCGAGCAAAAAATTAAAAGCAAACAAAGTTGGCAAAGACAAAAACCGTATCCCAAAAGCCACCCCCCCTGCGGATGCGAAAAGAAAGACTGTGAAATGTGAGAGGCCAGGATAACAACAACAGATGTTCGCATAAATTTGTGTGCATAATAAACAATTTACGATTCCGATACCAATACCAATACCAATACCGATACCGATTCCGATTCCGATTTCGATTCCAATTCCGATTGTGATTTCAATTATTTAGTGCTGCCGCTCCTCGCGCGGTGCCGTACGCTCCGCCTGCAGCTGAAACAAGCGTATGGCACGCAACCGATCCTCGCGCCTCAGCTGACAAAAGTACACCAATCCCCTTACATAGTTGGACAGCTCGCGGGCACATGCCAGCAGGCACTCATCTGCCTCCGGCCGGGGCAGCTGCCACAGTAGCTGCACCAGAAATTCGCGCCACTGTGCCGGTGCCAGGGTGAACAGTAGCAGCGCCGACGGCAGCAGCGTTAGCATCCCGAGCGTAAAGTAGCCGCACCAGCGGCAGTTCGGGCAGAGCAGATGGCTTAGCTGGTGGACGAGACGCTCGTAGCTGCACCAGCCAATCAGTATGGCCAGCTCCGAGATGAAGACTGTGCCCAGCAGCTCGACACAGATGTGGATGCGCGGATAGAGGCTAGTGTAACGCTTTGGCAGCATCTCGCACCTCCACAGCAACAGCAGCAGAGTCAGCACGAACAGCCATTTGGCCAGCATCGGCGCCGGCGAGCACTGATCCTGCGGCTGGCGTATGAACAGCGTGATGCCACACATTTGCAGCAGCGTTGCGGCCACAATTGAGGGCGGGGAAACCATCTCCGTGGAATCTATCGTTAAATTGTATACTTTTCACGTTTTGCGATGCCTTCTTATAATTTGGAATTTAGCTAGGTTTTCGAATACATTTCAAAAGTGTTTCGGTAAAAAAAAAAAAAAAACAACCCAAAACAAGCGCCTGCTACAACAGGCAGCCCCGCGCCTCCCCAGCTGCCTGCTTGAGGTGCAAATGGGAAATAAATAAATGCAAAGTATCTAGAAAATCGCATTAACTTTGTCTGCGTTTGCTTGAGTCCTTGTCCGCTTTCGCATTATTATTTCGCCAAATCTAATCAGGTGTTAGTCTACACACACACACACACAGAGACACACACACACCCACACACCCACACACCCACACACCTACACACGCAGCCTGTCACAACGCACATTGCTTCAACGCCTTTGTAGCTGCCGCAGTCGCATATTTTTTGGGCTCAGTTTCATGCTTCACTGACTTGCACATGCCCTCACACACATACACACACACACACACACATACGCCCACAGCTTGAAGCTAACGCTCGCCTTTTAAACACGTCATAAGCCTGTGCGGGAGAGCAATTGCTTGGTCTTAACATTTATAGCCTACTTTTGAGGGCAGCCAGAAATACAAATAGTTTGTGCTACAAAATTTAAGGTATGTGGAATATCGAAAAGCCTAGACGTAAAGCTAAACTGATTGATATATAAATAAATATACATTTTAAATATAATCATAAACATAAATAAATAAATAATAAAATAAAGTCCTCTACAACCATCTTAGATAAAGTCTTATATAAAATGTTTGTAAGTAGAATGAAACTAGTTGCATCAAGTACTATTCTATATATATTTCTATAACCTATATCCTATAATATGGCTGTTATTTTTTGTTAACGAAATAAATTTGAATTACATTTATTTTTAGCTGTCAAGATGAGACTGGAAAGCCTTTTGGTAGGCATGTGGAGGAACTGTGTTATTATATTTCCAAATGGATTCGCAAACGTCAACGCCTGGGACTGCTACTGTTAGTTTCAAATTCTATCAAAAGAGTAAGTAGTGCTTTTGAAAATTGCTTGAAATACCATTGAAAACTTTGATTTAAGCATTGCAACAGTTAATGTTGATAAAATTAGTTACACAAATTTAATCCCATCATTATGCAGAGCATTTAAATGTCGCAATTCAAAAAACTCCCTTTTTAGTTGGGCCTGCTTTTCGTTTTTGGTGATTTTATGTCCAGAATGTGTGACTGAGCTTGTGGCTTTTGATTTTCATTGGCCCCATAAATAATTTGCAGCTCACAAACTTGTGCTTGTGGAAATTTTAGTGCATACTTTCAGGCGCTTAGTGAGCAATCAAACCATTTTATGGCCCATATAACGCTAAAGAGGCGGAGGCAGCAAGTCTTTTGCAGAATATGAAAAATTTAAGCAGGCGGCACTTTAAATTAACATAAACTTAGCATCGAGGCTGGAAGTCAGGTCGGGCCACGCCCTAATTAGGGGATCGGCCAAGTCAATGACAAAACTTTTTGGCAAGCAATAAAAATCAACATTATTATGTTAATTGGTTAGGGGTTCGGCGTACAGGTGACTCCCTGCGGCGTTTCAGGTGCGCAGCAGCAACAGCAGCTGCTTCACAGATTTTAATCACTAAATTAGTTTACAAAAACAAAAAAAATGTGCCGCGAAAATCGCCTAAAAGCATGTGGCCTTTATTTGTCTTACGGTTTCGGTTTTTTCGCTGAGCAACACAAAAAAAAAAGGTACACAAAGCTTTTGTTAACTGCGTAAACTTTGCGCGCTCCCCCCTCAAAATAATAAGTAAACATTATTTATTTTAAAAGAAGAAAAGCCGTTGCATAGCTTCCGGCACACCACAGCGCGCTGTAACAATGCAAGGGCGGTGAAAGGGGGAAAGACTGAGAAGGGCCGAAACGTCAAAGTAATTAAACAAAAGTAATTAAGATTAGCGCGCTTGGAGTAGCTGCAAGTCATCAACGCAGCTCCAGCCACTGGTCCGCGCTCGTCCATTATCATCATTATCATTATGATAGTGGAGCTGAAAAGGGAGGAAAGGTGTTTGGAACGGGAACGGGAACCGGAACGGTAACGGGAACGGGAGAGAGCAACGGCGAGGTAACAGTTAGGTAACGGCAACAATATGAGTAAAAGTGCTGCCAACTTTGACGTCATTATAGCTGGCATACCTGCAAGTCAAATACACTTAGCCCCTCGTTATGGTCGCTACTTAAGCTCTTGTTGTTGCGCTAATACCCTGTTAAGATGGGAAACGGGAAAATGCGGCATGAATAAATAGTGCGAAAAGAAGACACCATATAAGGAATACATTGTTTAACCCTTACCCATAAAACCTTGCATAATTTTATTGAATTTGTGACAGTTTCATTCAAAATTGTTTTATGTCGGTTTCAAATATTCCTTTAGTTAAATATCTAGTTTAACTTCCACTCTACTCTACTCTATATTCCATGGTATATTCGCATAATAAATACAGAAATTATTGAGGAACAATTTTTGCAAGCGGTGGGTCGAGAGCTTATTAATTTATTCTTGTATAACATATACATATTGAAAATGTTCTTATAGTTATTCTAATTGGTTGTCTGTTATGATATCGATTTTTCACTTTGGTTAAGTTCCTGTTAAAATGATTTTCACTTTAAGGAAAAGGCAATCTGCCAATAAGATAAGAAAATATGTCGCTCAATAGATTTATTTCCGAAATGAACAAAATAATTGTACGTTAATAGCGTTCGTATCTTCTTAGTTTTCTTTAAAACAGTCTCAAATCCGATAATTTATCGATATTATATCTATAATATTTTTTGTCATTGAAAAGCGAGTGTTCCACAATATCTTCTCTTTAGGTTCCTTTTTTATTTTGCTATAATTTTTTCCTAATCTTTTCTTTTTAATTGGCATACCATTTTCACGGCGATAATTTAAAGGCGTCCATTGAACTGTAGTTGCAATTAATTTACAAAAATACAGTTCTGTAAATGTGTGACTCAACAGATCTTAATACAGGGTATCGCCTAGTCAGCACTGTCGATTCTAGCAATTTTACTTGTTTAAATTGCTGTTGTTGTGTGTGCAGCTCCTTTGGGCTATTTTCTGAATTATTATTGTTCGACAGCAAAGTTTTTCGCGTTGCTGAAACTTTAGAGGGAAGCGTATGCCTTTCGGGTTTCCTTATTTTTATACCCTGCCTTTCTTTGGGTATTTGTCAAAATAAACTTTTGCTTAAATTCGCATGCGCTGATAAACAGCAATACAAAAAGCAGTTCGTGTTCGGCCAATCAACAAAAGATCATAACCCCGCATCGGACAATCCTTCAGTTAACTTTAAGAGCCCACTCGCAACACGCCCATTGGCAACGCTTCATTAACCCACACACACACAGTCGCACATACACAACCACACACACTTACACTCTAAACGAATTCCCACAATCCTTGGCTTATGCCCGGCTATCAAGTGGCAGCAAAAGAAATCCCGAGATTCGAGTGGGGCATTAACACTAAACGAAATCCCCACATGGAAACTTGTCGACAAGTTTTCCGCACACACACACACACACACACACACGAAGATAGATTTTGTTCTCGTTGCCTTAAATTATATTTGGCAGTGGCAAAGGTTGAGTTTAAGCCTCCAAATGAGATTTATTAGCATTCAAAGCGGCATTTTAGCCGCGTTCGGCCAGGCCGATTGGCCATTTTTCATCAGCCCAAACTTTTGTTTTGATTAAATGAAGCTTAACGAGCCGCCCAGGCAAAAGGCAAACCACGTGGAAGGTAACCGGGGTAACAGGGGCTGCCAACTTAACTAATGAGCTGATTTACAGCCCAACAACACGTCGGCGCCAGGGCCAAGACTGCAGCAGTTCCACGCTGGCCATGGCTCCTGGCAGCTCGAGAGGCAACGGGTCGTATGACAAATGCGCCCGGCGTTATTTATGGTGACCGCAGGACAAGATGTCCTACGTGTGGTCATTAGGCCCCGTAGGCGTGTGGCCCAACTTAAAACTCTCTGCTTTATTGCACACTCTTGAGCGCAACGCAATAGGTAATCATATTAAAAATACATTCCCAAAAACGCACGGCAGGTTGTTTTGACTGAAGTGCTGCAGCTTTCTGTAGATCAGTTTTTGATGTGAATAAGGCGAGACATATAACAAATAAAATCATTAAAAGAAATTATTTAAAAATTATTTTAATAAATATATTGTTAGTAAGTCATTTAAATATATAAAATTATTTGAACTAAGCATATATAAAGTTTCCTTAAATATTTTAACAATTCTTAGAACTTCAAGTATACAAATTAAAAGCTAAATTCATAAATAGAATTATGAAATATATTTGAAAATTTATGTATATATATATTTGAAAATAATAATTCGATTCGAATAAGTGTGTGGATCACACATATTCTGAATTCAAAATTCGCATTGAGTCTTATGCTTAAAATCGGCAGACAACTCTCGAAGTGTAAGGATCTACCTCTGGCTTGTATGCCATTTATGGGTTGTCAGTAAGAAATAATAGAAATTTGATAGCCTTTGGCCCGGCCAATTGGCAAAGTGAAGTCTCAAATCCTGACAGGCAAAGTGTCAACCTGACGTTTGGCCCTGCCCAGGCGCTTGCCTTTGGTCCTTTGTGAGTGTTGTGCCATTCGCTATAATCACTAATTAGGCGTTTGATATATATGCGCCGCAGTTGGCAGCCGACGAGCCAGAGACGACAACCTGAGCCACAAGCTGACAAATTGTAATTGCGTGGCAAACAAGCGGAAATCGGCTTAGCATCGGGTGGATTGCAGGTGCGGGGCAGGGGGATGCTGTGGGTCGGCTGAAGGCGCCTGCCTCTTTGGTTTTATTGAGTTATTAGCCGCTGAAATGCCGAGGCATACATTCGGGCGCCACGCGACTCTATCTTGGCCAGGCGCTTAGTCACGGCGGCTAATAAAGTGCGGCCTTTTTTTTAGGGGTTGTTGTGGGTGGGTGTGGGTCGTGGTAGGGCATGGGGGCTGTTTATTGACTGCCGATGGCTATGCAAAATTTTTGCAGAATGACAAAACACATTCTAATCGCACTTTAAAAGCATCATTTTCCACACGGGTTCATCGCCAAAATGCCTGATGTTATGCAATGCTTTTTGCTGTTAGCTCGATATGCGCGAGGGCGACGTTGGGGGGCATGGCATAACGAAACCTTTTTCGACATATATCTGTATGCATGCGAATTCTGGCAATTTTCGGCATGTCATTTTATTAAATTCGCTGAAAAACGCGTTGCATACTTTTTGCCGGCCCATGTTTGGTTGGGAGAGGTGGAGCGGGGTTCACTTATGCGTAACATTGCGTAAGTGCAGCTGTCAGGCCAATGGAGGGTATGAAAGGGCAGGGGATTGAAGCGTTGAAGAGTTGAAGTAGAGAAGTGCTGCATATGCATTGCATGGCAGCTTGAGTGTGAAAATTGCTGGAAAATGCATTGAAACTTTGATTTTTTTATGCATGAAAGCAACTGGTCGTAGGGAGCGGGGCGAAGCCAAAGCATATGTGCAAGCATTTTGTGGGTTTGTTTTTCTTGTGGCCCGGAATGTTGTTGCGATTCGCATTTTATGGTGTTGTGGCACATCTCACAGCAAGAGCAAGAGGAAGCTGGTGATGCGAACAGCGACGCTAAATGCATATTTTGAGTGTGGAATTATTTATGGCAGCTTGTTGAAGCAAATATTTGGTTCTATTTGCCGATGAGTGATTCGATTTGTTCCCCAAAGCAATTTCAACTTTATAAAGAATAAACAAATTTCAACTTTTGGCATTGAGGAATATACTTATTTGCATTCCACATGCTTATAGTACCTACTATCATCTGCCAGTTCTGCATATAAGACTACGTGTTTTTTTTATTTTCATAAAAAAGGATAAATCTAATAATTTAGTAAAAAAGATTATTTTACAAACTTTTCCTACACAATGTTGTAATTCCAACAATTTGAAATGAAAATTGTCGCCATTA